GCGACAGCGGATAGTGGAGACGGCTGCAGCAATCATTCGGGACGACATTCGGAGGCACGCCTACGACGTTGATCAGTATCCAACGGTTCCAGAGGTGGAGGAAGGAGGGTGGGAGGCGCTGCCAAAGAGTCTGCGGACACTCCTGACCGAGTTGATCTGTAAAGGAAAGAAAGGGAAACAAGCACCTTACATTCTGAAATGCAATATGATTGGACAGGCAATTGTGAGCGCAGCGCGGCCGAGGTCATTTCTGTCCCCACTGCAACATGCCTTGTCTGTTTATCTCCACAGGTCTTTTGCATCGAGGCACCTTGTTGACTTACTACACTCTCTGGGCGTGTGCTCCTCGTACACTGATGCAGCAAATTATGAGAAATCTATCATAGAGCACGCCAAACCCGCCATTACAGACACTGGCAATGTCCTTGTGCAGTTCGTCTTCGACAACGCAGATTTTGACATTTCCACTATCGACGGTTTGAATACATTCCATGTGATGGGTGGCATCAAATGTATTACACCAGCAACCAGCGTTTCCCTGGAATTTACTGTCCCTCGCAGTAGTGGTTATCAAAAGGTCGACGTTGCTCTACACGGCTCCATTCCTCTCGCAAATTACAAACCTCCCCCGGAGTCCGGTTTCCAAAAAATTACAGTCGAAGATCTACGGCCCGGGCAGCCATACGAGTTCGTAACTGAATCAGCTCTTTCCCATGAGAATGCAGCAAAACATCTGAACTACCTGTGGCTTGCTGGAACAGTGTTTCAAGCAGCTCCGACTCCAGGCTGGACAGGTTTCTTACAGAAGGCGACGGCAACAAGCGCACCCTGCAAAAAATCTGCCATTCTACCGGTTCCCTTTATTAATTTAGAAGCCACTAACCCGACCACAATCTGCACCGCTCTAGAATATGCAGCTGCTGAATCCGAAGCTGTTAAGCAAAAAACAACCATTGTGACATTTGACCATCCACTGTTCATGAAGACCACGGAAATGGTCCTGGCAGCTGCGGAGGGTTCCCCACTCAAATCTATTGTCATTTCTCTTGGTGGTTTTCATTTACTCATGTCGTTTATGCATGCCATATCCTATTTAATGGCTGGGAGTGGACTGGAAGAGATGTGGGGAACGGCGTACGCACCGAAAACAGTTCCACACATGATGTCTGCGAAAGCATTCTCCAGAGCTGTACGAGGGCATTTTTTGGCACAAAGTTGTATCTTTGCTCTCCTGTCAAGAAAAGCGGCGTATCTCGATAGATCACGGAAAAATTGTCTTTCTTCGCTCTTCAATGAAGTTTCACAATCCAAGGTAAATTTTGAAGCAGCTGCGAACGACGAACGCCTAAAGGAAGCGGTCTGCATGCTGGACACTGTCGTGAGAGACTTGTCCTCCGGGCGGCTAGGTAGACTTTGGTTGAATTATTTTGAGCACGTAAATACTTTGCGTGCTTTTATCCTCGCTCAGAAGACAGGAAACTGGGGGCTGCATTTACTGTCCATCCGCAAGATGCGTCCAGTTTTCCACGCTGCCGGTCATTTGCCTTACGCAAAGGCTGCACAGATTTATCTGCAGCAAGTTTCTTCCCTGGAAACAAAAATGCATCCACTGGAATTCGACAAGTACACTAGAGGAGGCGGTTTTGTGATACGTCGATTTGATAGATATTTTTGTGGGGTTTGGCCCGATTTAGTTATCGAGCAGTCGCTCATGAGAGCTCTTAAGGTCAAAAGTGGTCTTACACATGGTCGCGGGATCACCGAAGCTACCAAATCTACATTCATACACGCAATGCCTTTGACTACTCTCTTAACTCGTGCTCTCGAAAGCTACACCGGGAAATCGACGCTGACATCTGAGCAGCATGTCGACCTTCGAGAGTCAAGACAGATTCGCGACCAGAACGACCTGACAAAAATGCTGGGGTGGCTCCAGGCTCACGATCCGTTCCAGGAGTGTCAAGACCTTCGATCGCTTTCCTCTGGAATCAAGGCGACAGCTGCTGTGAACTGTGACATGTCGTTAGAAGTTGGCGTTCAAGCCATGTCACGTTCGATAGGGAAAAAGTATGGGGAGCTCACACTGCACAGAAAAGACCGTGCTACTAATCTTGCTTCAGTCCGGCCTGCGGTGCAAATCCGGGGAGAAGAAGTCCAAGTTAACGGCGAGACTGTACTCCATCGTGTACGCTGTGTTGTTGCTGATGTGGACCTCGGTGACTGCTTTAAATACGAGCTAGGGCCTGTACCCTCCTCCCTGTTCGATAAATCGGGCTTTATGCACAAAGGCACTAAATCCACTCTCGCACAAGTGTTGCAGTCCTCGGCTGTTCTCTCTGCCAACGCCAACCCCCTGTATGTTCTCGACGGAGGCCATCTCCTGCAGCGCGTGTCCTGGCCACGCCCAGCCACATACGCACAGGTCGCGGCTACGTACTCTTCCTTTGTCCAGCGTTTATACACGAGTAGGAGCACTGTTGTTTTCGACGGGTATGCGGGTGGGCCTAGTGTGAAGGACGTGGAACACATGCGGCGGGGGGCGAAAAACATGTCCGCCGACATCAAAGTAGAGCCAAACCTTCCTGTAGTGACCACACAGGCTAAATTTTTGACTAACGGGAAGAACAAGGAGCAGCTCATCGCCCTTTTGTCACATGACCTCCGTGAGAAAGGAGTCACAGTGGTGAAGGCTCCCGGAGACGCTGATCGGCTGATAGCAACCACTGCTATAGAACTCACGAAAACAACTGGTGAAAATGTCGTTGTTGTAGGGAACGACACAGATGTGCTTGCTCTCCTGATAGCTTTATCAGACGGTTCGGAGTCCCTGTCCATGTTAATGCCGGGGAAAAAAAGCAAGGTGTACGACATTCCCACAATTCGGATGTCATTGGGAGATGCAGCTGACCTTTTAGTTCTTCACGCGCTGACCGGGTGTGACAGCACATCAGCACCTTACAATAAGGGAAAAAAAGATCCACTCCAGAAACTACAAGACAAAGAAGAGTTCCGAAGAATTATTTCGATTTTCAACAGCGAGGGAGCGTCGGCCGAGGAAATAGCGACTGCCGGAGAGGCCTTCCTTCTTTCTCTCTATGGCTCATCGGACCAATTTTTAGACGTTGCCCGTTTCTCTGCATATCTGCGCACAGTCGCAAAGAAGCCGATCAGCAGCGACATTGACATGAAGTACCTGCCCCCTTCCTCAGCGGCGGCGCGGCAACATTCTTTCCGAGCCTACTATCAAGTGCAGGAATGGCGCGGGGCTGAGCTTGACCCAACTAAATGGGGGTGGAAGGTGGTGAACAATATTTTTCAGCCCGTGATGACACTCCTGCCACCAGCACCACCTGAGGTTCTGGAGCTGTCAGCGTGCGGCTGCGCTGGAAACTGTTCGACGAGACGGTGCTCCTGCTACGCCGCCGGGAGGAAATGCTCGGCGATGTGCGGAAAATGTAACGGAGTGACCTGCGGCAACGCCATGCGAGAGGTTGGCCAAAATCTATAAATGTAAATAAATATTAAGCACCAAACAGTCAGTGTTAAAATCGTGTTAAACAGTTACAGCTTCCAGCCTGCGAGGAGCCAGAGGATGCAGAAGAAGAGGCTACCATTGATGATCCGGGTTACGCATGACAACAAAACATCTATTCGGATGTGAGATAGCTAGGATCACGCCCCCCACCCCCACCCCCAAAAAAAATTAAATGTACAAATGAAAATTAAATTGTCTACTTTTAACTGTTTTTAGGCGAGTACCAGGCCACACAGACGATCTGGACATCGCAGGGCTGGAGCAGCGGTGACGCGCGGGGCCCAACCAGCTGGCCGGCTCCGCCCCGGCCGCGCCGGGCAGGCGCGCCGCGGCGAATAAAATTCGGTTTTCCCACTTTCTGGTGCATTTTTCACACTTTTGTGCCGTATATTGATTTCTTCGTTATGAAATTCTCTACAACGTTTAGAAAACTACATTTAGCGAATTTCCTTGCCATTTTAGAGATAATCGTGGAGAAAGAAAAGTTAGAAAACTTGTGAAATATTTTTTTCAGCATTTTCCGAGGAAATCTCACTGAAATTTTGCTCAAAGAGTACGTTCGATATACTCAAATTGTAGCCCTATTCTTTGCGGTCAAAATGACATGTCTATCACTTCTGTGGGTGGTCTGGTGTCCGAGCTATGGCCAAAAAACAGTTAAGCCCCGGAAATTCAAAATGGCGGACTTCGAGGGCCATTTCCGGAGATCTGGCCGATGGGATTTCGTGGGAATTCTCAGGATTTGTTAGTCATAGGTACTACTACAAATCCCCAAAGCGGCGAATTGTTGCGAATTTGTTGTGGGTCAAAACCTAATGTAACCGGGCGAGGGGTCGTCAAATTCGATATTCCTCCGTACACAGACTGATATTACCTCAAATATTACACCAATATTAGCCATATTCCTGGTAATATTACCTCGATAATACACATTTTTCTTGTAATATGACGTCACAGCCTGAAAATTGGCTCAATATTACCAATAGTATTTGTAATATTTCAATATTCCTCCGTACACGGCCAAGGAGAGTTGACGACCCCTCGCCAAAGACGCATTGCATTTTACTTGTAAGCATTATGCACTCTTAACATCAATCTGAAAGACAGGCCAGCTGACGATATGACATGGTAGATTCGAAGAACGCCAGTGCTGCAGAGAGACAAAACATAATTTAACAGAGTAGGGGTAACAGAAGATAAAATTCAGCATAAATGCTAAAACTCACATGTATTTAGTAAGTGTCTTTACTCTTTGAGTAGGGTATCCTGCAGTCAGAAATATGCAAATGGCCATGAAGAAACACAACCTGCGAAAAAAAAAAAAAGAAAACACAGGTTACAAAACATATATTCGTCCCCTTTTCAAAGCACGGACAGCATAGTAGTGTAGGCGAGAGGGGGAGAGGAAAAGGCAGACTTTTCGCTGGGACTAGTAAAGGAAAGGCATTAAAAGATTTCAGGTACACTACTTCCAGGGGATGAAGTGAAGAGGAAGAAACCATTGCAGCCCTACTATTAAATATAATGTGTCAGATAAGGTAGTCGTCCTGTGGACAAGAAAGTCAGGTTAGAATGCTGCACCAAGGGTTACCAAGGGTATTTAAACGTAAATTTACTTACACCAATAGAACGTTCTCAAAGCAGGAGTAACGTGTCATTTTATTTGCAGCTGATAAGGAAAGAGTCCACCAACATAAAAGGCAGAAGCTTTCAGGCAACTCGGTTCGGCTGGGAGCTTGGCAAGCAGGCGAGACAGTCAACTGTCCACAGTCAACAAAAACAGTCGCCACCGCAAGGTGACAACCCTGGAACAGCAAATAAAAACATAAGACATCCTACCAAAAGCAATATTTCGCACCTTGGTATAACCACTTTTGTTCTATTTGATAAAAGTTTTCATTCTTTAAGAGACAATAGTAAGCTATTTATGCATTGCCACTCCTGCTACAACTATGTTGAAAGGAAGGAGGCGAAGATCCTTCCCCCACTAAAGCCGAAATTTTGACCTTAGGACGTGCTTGTGACTTTTCTGTGTTTATTGGGACTGGTCTCACCGGTCTATAAACCCTGGCCTAGTGCCAGGAGATCGAGTCTGCTACCTCATCCAACTCTTGACCTACCGCACGCACTCTCGCCCACCTCTCTCTCTCTCTCGTCAACCCGGTCAAAGCGTGACGGTGTGGTACCTTAGAAAGAAAGTTAAGAAAGAAAGAAAGTTAAGAATAAAGATGGGAAAAAAACAAAATGGATATAAGATTCCCGCCCGGCAACAGCGGCGCCAGCGCCGGCCGCAACAGTAAGTCAAACTACATTATTTCATTCAAAATTTTAAAGAACTGATAGTGACCAGCCATGGGGACAGCAGGCAAAGATTGAACGGCGGCTTTATGGAGTTAACCAATGAATCGAACAATGCCAATTATGTCACATAAACATTTGCTGTTTTACAAAAATGACGTGTTTTTTTAAATATAAGAGGCAAATAACGCATAATACTGGAGGTGCCCCCACACTGAGCGGGGGCCGTAGCCATGTGCCATGCCATGGCCATAGCTCTCGGTTTTAGGAATGACGGTCTGAGGATTATGGCTCGTGGCCCATGGCTGGTCACTTTGTTAGAAAGATCTTCTGTGCAAAGCAGCAACACACTGTGTTAGCAGTTTGTAAGATTTTTCTACCGGGTATGGCAGACCAGAATCTGCGTTGTCACTCCTCTCTTTCATTTCCAAAAGCTTATTCGTACTACAACAAAGTGTAGCAGATGTATTATGACCAAGTTTTCTGGTCCTAATAGACCATTCCACCGAGAGAGGAAGAAAAATCAAAGAAATCAAAAAGAACTAGAAACACATATACTTTAAAGAGCTCTTTCCGTCAATCTCTTCTCACTCTTTGGATAGTCAAAATTGAATACTGTTTCCGGTAGTTTTTGATTGCTAGTGTTCTTCTGCTTCCGGTGGAAATGGTCTATTTCAGTAGCAGTCTACCCCGATAATGACATACCTCTTTTATCTTCAGACCCCGCTTTTGGAGACTAATCGAGGTGTCAGTAGTCATCGCACTCTGGGCTATTGGAGCGCGAGTCTTGCCCGAGCTAGCGGAAGAGATCAGTCTAGTTGCTCGCGGCTTCCTAGATGGTACGTAAAGAATGATTAGCTGTTGGATAGTTAATGCCCAGTCTTTAAGAATCAATCATATAATTCCCCAGATAACAGTAAAAATGTAACAGTAAATTTTGAACATATCCTAGAATAATTTATCTGAACAAATTAACTGTAAGCTAACTTATTAGCCTATTAATCATCAGATTTTAAAAGTAAAAGTATACAAATACTTTCATTTTCACTTTAAGATCAAGTTGATGTACGATTAATTGATTGCTGAGACTGGGATGTTGCATTTAACTACAAATGAGAACTCTATTACCTTTCTTTTTCTCTTTGCAGCACTGCAACAATGAATAAATAAATTAGCTAATTACGAAGTTTCTTGATCATTTCCTTGAATAACTATTTCCTGAATTTCCTCTCATGATACGTAGTCCAGTCCTCATCCAATCGCCAATCAAAATCTTGAGAACCTGTATGAGGCGACTTCACTTGTGGAGCGACAACCATTTACCCAGACGGGATTCTGTAGAGGCATCTCTTAATTAGAACCTAAAATTGAAATTCCAACATAACATGTAAAATATCTTACCTGCTGATGCTTTAGAGGTTAAAGTCTGGTGCTGGATTAGAGATTTTAGATGACACTTCGTTTGGCGGAAGGGCGGGCCTGCTTGTTTTTTTAATGTGATCGTGTCATTTCATCTCTCTAGGGTCTCGTTTAAACACCCATAATTTTTTTTTACCAATCATCACCTCATCCCTAGAGAGTATCGTTTCACCTTCATTTTTTCTGTGATTTATGCTGTGATCAACTTTAAAAAAAAAAAATTTATGTGACTGGCCCATGAGGCATTAAATATTTTTTAAAGTTCATTTTTTGTGTTATCCTTTACCCTTCAAAACTTGAAAAAGATGGAGTGACATGCTTTATTTCATTGTTTAATCATGGTAAAGGTGAAGCTGAATGAGTTGAACATATATTTTTAGGGTGCCCCCCTCCCAAACTAGTTTAATCAGAATTACCGTTACCACAACTTAAAGGAATCATTCATATTTTGTGTGGCTAAAATATCAAAGCTGGAGCACCTCTCCCTACTCAGATATATTCAAAAGTAGTTTAGGGAACCATTAAATTTTAAAACTACAAAGATTTTCAACCATATCTATTTACTGACTTGGAGGGTCAAAATAAAAATATGCAAATAGTCAGCGGATAAGTTCACAATGGGGTTCAAACTAAATGATATAGTACTCTCATAGTTTACACTTGGTTATCATCTTACTCTCTAACATAAAGACAAGGAAGAAATGTCATAGAACACCAAGCTTTTTTTGGAAATTGTTTTATTTTATGTAAACACTTGTAAGGGTTATGTTCCATAGACTTAAAATTAAACAAGCAGGCCTGCCCCTCCGCCAAACGGAGTTGCCAGCTCCGCTTCGCTGCGCCGGCAACTCCGTTCGGCAGGGGCCGGGCCTGCTTGGCCTGCCGGTGCCGACGCTCGGGCCTGCGGCCCGACCGTTTCGTTTACGCAATTTTCTAAAGAAAATAATCAAATAATGTAGCGGGCCTTCGGCCCGAAAGTTACCCCTCAGGAGATCATAACAAAAAAATTTTTTTCCCACTTCTTTGGCCTTTCCTGTTTTCTTCGATACCCCCTTTCAGCCCCTTAAGGGTGGCTGGCAGGATTTGCGGTAGGCGTTTTGTTTTGTGGGAGTGAACCTGGAGATCCCCTGAAAATTTGAAGTCTTTCGCTGAGGAGCATCATGGGCCGGGCGTACAGCATCGCACGCGAAGTTGTTTACCCCCCGAGGGGTAAACAACTTCAAATTTTGGTGTACACTACTATTTCAAATTTCAAATATTTCAAACCATTTTAAACCATTTCAAGGCCATTTCAACCATTTCAAGACCTTTTCAACCATTTCAAGACCATTTCAACCATTTCTAGGCCCTTTCAACCATTTAAAGACTATTTCAACTATTTCAAGACCATTTCAAGACAATTTCCACCATTTCAAGACCATTTCAAACAATTTCAAATCAATTCAAACCATTTAAGGCCATTTCAACCATTTCAAGACCATTTCCAACCATGTTATACCATTTCGAGACCTCTTTAATAAATATTTACACTCTGAAAATTCAATCACATGACCGCTTGAACAAAAGCCTCCAAGTCGCTTCCATCTGTTTCAACACTCACCAACATTTTTTATAAAAACACTTTTTTTCTAAACACCAACAGCGCTTTAATTGCAATTCACAACCTTTGAACTGCAAGCCAACGTATTAATCGTAACTTTGGTCGGTAGTCTCTATAGATTTCCTCAAATTTCTTTATGACGGGTAGATGCTGTGCCCTTTACCGCTATCGCCTCTTTGCTGCGGCGCTGAGCGACACGCGCAATCTCTGTTGTTTCATATGTCTGTGCTGCTGTAGAAATAGACGGGATATGCGGAGCGAAGTGCGAAATGTGTCCACGCGTCCGCGTGTCGTCTGGAAGCTTTGCGGACCATCCGGTTACTTCCGCTTACTCTAACGGGAGGTGATGGACGGAAACGCCTCTACACACTCCCGACCGCCCCCATTGCTGTCCCCGACAGCGTCGAAGCCCGTGGTCTGCGTATCATCTAGAGCCTCTTTGATGTGCACGGGGACCGGTCAATGACTCATATTTCATCAAATGATGAATGTGATGTAGAGTGGTACGCTTTCCCCGTTCCATTCCCAGCAATAGAGAACGGTGTCTGACGCCTGAGCATCGACGTTGTTTCAAATTTGTGAATAGTGTAAATAGTTGCGGATGCTGCTCTCCACGCTAGTGGCGTCAAAGACGAGCATAATGAGTCTGCTCACGGAGGCGACCCCC